AAAAAAAAAATTTCGGACTTTATTTTATCTTCATGGTGAAAATGGCTACCAAATGCTATTTTTGTGTGAAAATTCTCGATTTTATTTTTTACATTTCTAACTTTATAATGTTATTACTTTTTGAAAAATGTATGGATTAATACAATTTTTTCATGAGATGTAGTATTTATATACATCTTTCATTCGACATATTTTATTTTAAATTGGACCATTCCCTTTATACGAGGAGAGTTCAAATCTAAAAAATGGATGTAAAAAGTAGAACTTTTTCAACTTAAATTTTGAAAGTGTTCCGGAAGGTCTGACACTTTTATATATATATTAAATTAAAGCTAATGTAATACACTTTATTATGGTAAAAAAAAATGTCGGACTTTATTTTATCTTCATGGTGAAAACAGACATCATAGTTTATAAAAAAAATACGATTTTTGTAAAAAAATTCTTTTTTATATTTCTAACTTTATAATGCTATAACTTGTTGAAAGATGTATGGATCAATATAATTTTTTTTTTAGATGCATGATGTCTTTACCTATCATTTGGTATATATTTTTTTTATATCTGACAATTTACCTGCCCACAGGGGGGGATTTAAAATGACAACTTTTTCACAAAAAATTTACTTTTTCAACTTAAATTTTGAAAGTGTTCCGGAAAGTCTGACACTTTTATATATATCTTAAATTAAAGCTAATGTAATTTACTTTATTATGCGAAAAAAAAATTTCGGACTTTATTTTATCTTCACGGTGAAAATGGCTACCGAATGCTATTATTGTGTGAAAATTCTCGATTTTATTTTTTACATTTTTAACTTTATAATGCTATGACATATTGAAAAGTGTATGGATCAACATTATTTTTTTATGAGAAATAATATTTTTTAATAATCCCTTTTTCATTCTACATACTTTATCTTAATCAGGATATTAATAATGAACTAGCAGATCATGTAGCTTTTGGAATAGTCCACCAATTTTTTAAAATTAAACACTATCTAAAGATTTGCATCGAAGCCTTTTTTTTTTTATAGTGATTTTAATCACTGTCAGATATCATTATACTTGATCCATCTATACCACGTCACCACTGTGCCGCGACCCCCCTGTGCTGGGTTTTATTATAGTGATTTTATCACTGTCAGGTATGATCAATATTTGTCCTCACTATGCCACGTACTCACGGTACTGGATATATATTTTTAGTAATATACATTATTTATTTATTAATTATTATACATTTATTTCTTATTAATGTATCAACTTCACTCAGTGGCAACCATTCGTATACGTATAGCATATGCAATAATTTTTTTTCACTTCAGAACATGTTGCCAGTGATTTATTTAAGAATAATAACTGTAACAATAAAATAGAAGTCACTGTGAGTCCAGAACATAATTTGCTCTTGTAATATCGCCGACTTAAATATTGCAGTGCTGTATGTGCATATATAAGATGGTTGGTATATAATGAAAAATGTGTCATCCAAATCATATTATAAAAAAAAATGCTATAAAAAATGTATAGGTGGTAGTGTCTTAGTAAAAAATCATTTATCATGCATTACATATAATGTAATGCGCCCTTCTAATAAAGTGATTTAAATCAAGTATAAGTTAATTATATTTTACAATTTGGGTGAGCATTTGTGTTTGAACATAAATGCGTGTATTTTGTGAACATTTTTTCATAAAAATTGAACGAATTTTAAGAAACTTTTAAACGATTATTAAGTTTTTAACGAGTTATTTTTTGGAAGGGAAAACCCTGATTGTACAAAGAAAGGTTTGTATAATTTGTCATTTTATATTAAAAATTATTGTGATATGGGTTTGGAGAATACAAACGTTCCAAATCATTTTCAAAAATTCAATAGAAAAAATGTTTTTGTATGCGTCTTTTTTAAACCATTCTTGTACTTACGTAGATTTCCGAATGAATGTTCATAAAAAGCATACCAAAAGAAAGCTTTTTGTTTCTAATTTACTGTGTTAAAATTTCATTAAAATCAACATTTTGAAAAAAAGTTTGTAGTATAGATATATATTTTTTTAAATGTTTTTTTTTGTGGTAAATAAATGTTGACATATATTTTTTAAACTTCTAAAATTGTAGTTTTTTCTTTTTTTTCGGCGTTGATTGGTTCAACTAGATTAATATCGGATTGCTTTGATTTACTCATAATTAAAATTGATTTAGTTTAGTTTTAGTAAATTATAAAAACCAATACCTTCTCAGCTCCTTATCGAAGCTAAACAAATTTAATGAATATATCATGAATGCATTCTATTTTAGCGAATAAATGAAAATGTGAATACATTGGCTTTTTAGATATTTCCAAAGCTTAATTAAATGATAAATTCAATATTCTTGTAAAGTGTAAGAGATGGCCATAAAAAATATCTAATTAATAATAAATTAATAACTATGTATAAGTAAAAAATACACAAAAAAAATTTGTATTTGATAAATATTTGAGTAGTTTATAATAACATAACAATTGTGATATAAATAATAGTTTTTTTATTATTTTAGATCTTAAGAATAAAAATCTTAGAATTTTTAAATAAATATTTTCTGGACTAGTTAGTAAAAATGAGTTAGTTAAACGTCCCATTTTAAAATTTATTAATGATTAATAATATTTTTAATGTTATTTAACAATGTATTTTATAATGAAAACGTCAATTTATTTTGATATTATGATTTACTAAAATGAATACTTCAATAATATCATTATACATATTATAAAGTACATTTTATTAATTTAAGTATTATGATAATATAAACTTTTTTTATGAACTAAAAATCTCTTATCATCCCTAGGTTACTTTTAAATAAATATATATTTGCCAATATTAATTAAAATCTTGTCCATATTTCTCATTTAATAATCAGGCTGATTCATTGGAAATTTAGTAGATTTTCAAATTATGAAATATTATTTTTTATAATTTATTAAACAAATTTATTAAATACCAACTGTGCATAAAGAATTTTAATATTTTTGCAAAACATTTTTTTATTCGAAATTAATATTTCAATTTTAATATCATTTTTCTAGTAAAAGCAATTGATGGTGATCGCGGAGTAGAAAATCGTATTATTTATTCAATTACACGGGGTGGAAATGGATTGCTTGAAGTGGAACCTAACTCTGGCATTGTCTATACTACTGGTGTTCTGAATCGAGAAGATCCTTCTATCATTAAAACTGGAGCTATTATCATTGAAATTATGGTATAAGATTTTAATATTGTTACCAAAATTATTTCGTTTACATATTTTGTTTATAATACAGGCAACAGAAGATTCAAGAAATATTTTTCCCAATCCATCAACAAAAACTGAGGTCACTGTTATTGTGACAGATGTCAATGATGAAACTCCTAAATTTAGGAGTGGTTATTACATAGCTGAAATTAATGAAAATGCTCAACAAAATACACCAGTTAATTTCTTAGGAGATGCTATACCACAAGTATATGATTATGATCAGGGTAAAAATGGCACTTTTCGATTGCGTATACAACAAGGTCGTTATGGATACTTTGATGTTACACCGTCAGAAGGTATAAATGAAGCATCGTTTCTTATACGTGTTAACAAAACAGTCGATTTAGACTATGAGCTCATCAAAGGTTGTTATCTACATTTTTCTTAACTTATGAAATAATATAAAATAAATACCTTTATCATTATTTTTTTATAGTAATTAATTTCACTCTTGTGGCAATTGAAACGATTCCTAAAAATCCAAAATATAGCATAGTTCCTGTTGCTGTGTACCTAAGAGATGTTAATGATAATTACCCAGAATTTTCCCATCCAATATATGAAGTTTTCGTTTCAGAAAACTCCGTTTCAGGTAAGACGATCGGTAGAGTTGAAGCGACAGATAAAGATTCAGGATTATTCGGTACAGAGGGCATACGATATACAAGTATTAGAGGAAGTTGTGCCGATTCGTAAGTGTTTTAAATTACAGTCTAATTATTCTAAATTATTTTTATCAATTTTATTTTAATTAGTCTATCTTTAAATGCGGATACTGGAGAAATTATAATAAAATCCGATAAACCTGTATTCGATCGAGAACAAATTTCAAAACATTTTTTGACTATTGAAGCACGAGATGACTTAGGACTTGGAAATAGAAATACAGTACAATTAATAATTAATGTAGATGATATTAATGACAACGCACCAAGATTCCTTTCATCAAAATATGAAACACGAATGAAAGAAAATCATTTAATTTTTGAGTCACCAGTTATTATTGAAGCCAGAGATTCAGATTTAAATGGTATAAAAATATTTTATAATTATCTAATAGTTTTAACTAAGTATTAAAACTGTCATAGGTACAAAAAATTCAGAGATCGCTTATCGAATCATACATACTGATTATCCAGGAGATGTATTTTCTATTGATCCGATTACAGGTGTTCTAAAACCTAAAAGACCAGTTGATTTTGAAAAATTACAAAATCGTAAAAGCACTAATAATATAAATGGAAATCTTAGACCAATTCACGTAGTAGTTCAAGCTCAAGATTACGGAGTACCACCATTAGCCGACGAAGCTCATGTAATTATTTATGTAGAGGATGTTAATGATTTTGGACCAAAATTTGAAAATCCTAGCTACGAAACTTCTATTTCAGAAGATTTGGCTGGCGGCAGCACAATTTTACAGGTAAATAAAATTTTTATTATGAAACTATGTCAAGATTTAATTGTTACTAAGCTTGAGAGTTTATGCGATAATGTTAAGCTATGCAATGATAATTCATTTAACTTGTTCCTTATTGTTAAAATAATTATTTTTTTTAAAAAAAGGAAAAAATTAACAAACTTGTTAAAGATGTTATAAAACAATAAATTAATAAATTTTAATTCAAATAATATCTTTATTAAAAAATCTCTAATTTTAAAAACTTATTTAAAAATGTAAAGGTTAATGCTTGGGATGAAGATGGGTCAGCTCCAAACAACGTAATTGTATATAGATTGAGTAGTGGTGCTGAGGATAAATTTGTAATAGATGCCTATTCTGGTGTTATTAAAGTTGCGCATGGCGCTTCATTAGATCCAGATAAAACCCAGCCTAAAACTGATGTATATAACCTAAAAGTTATAGCGATTGATGGTGGAATCGGTGATCAACAGCTTAGTTCTTCTGTAAATGTGACAATAAATATTCAAGACGTCAATAATAAGGTTCCTTTATTTAAAAAAATAGAACCTATTTATATCAAGGAAAACAAAGAGGTAACTAAAAAACTTAAATACTTTTTTTATTTAAATACATATTTAATTAATCATTGATTTAATGAAATTAGGTAGGCAGTATAATAACAAAAGTAGAAGCTGAAGATCCAGATGCAAAACCAATATTAAGATATAAAATTGATATTGATACTTCTGAAGCCCGTAATGAAAATGGTGTAGTTGTTAGTCCGACAGAGTATGATTGGCCTTCAGCATTTTCTTTGAATCCCGTGGATGGATTTCTTAGAGTAGGAAAATTATTGGATAGAGAAAAGGTTGAAATTATTCGACTTACTGTAATCGTTGAAGATATTGCAGCAATAAACGGTGTACAATTTGCGGAGGGTTAATATATAAAAATATTGAAGTATTTTTTAATGAACGCTTTCAAAAATAGTAATATTTTTCAGGTTTTTTAATTATTCACGTTGATGATGAAAATGACAATTCACCGATATTTCGTCAAGATTTTTACAAGCGAACCGTAATGGAAAACAGCCAACCTGGTGTACCTATCATAACAGTATTAGCAGACGATGCTGACAAAAATCGAACAATTCAGTACTTCATTGAAGGTAAATTTTTTTTCTACATCTACAATTGTTACAAATACCTTTATTAATCATAAAATTCAGTAGCAAAATTAAATTTGAAGATAGTTCTGTGTAAAAACAAGATAACTCCATTTTTCAATAATTTCCAATAAACTAAAAAAAATGTATTTAATATGTTCATATTTACCAGAAAATTTAAAAAACGTTACATTTTTTATACTATTTATAACAACTATTTTTTTCTTTGATAGGTTTATTTATAATTGTTATCTGAATAAAAAACCTGATTTAAAAAAAAAGTAGGATATATATTATTTTGTATAAATCCTTTCATTTCTTAAGACCTATGGTTAAGTTTTTTTTAGAGATTATATGCATATAAAAAAATAGAGGAAATTGATAAAGAATTATTAAACTCAATATTTTTTCAACAATTTTTTTTAACTATATATTTTTTGAGGCCACCGAATATATTAAAAAACTTTAATAAATAATATCATATATATATATATATATTAATTAATAATATGTCTGGGGTTAATGATAACCCTAATATTATTGTCCATTCACTATTTCGTATATTATTTTAATATTTTATGTTTTTGACTACTAGTAGCATTGTACCAAAATAGTAACATAAAATCAATTTTACAATTTGTTTAGTAAGTATTAATATCACATAACATTTTAACATGAGACCTGTGCGAAATCCTGCTTTTATCTGCTTGTAGATTCGCCTCTAATAAAATTTGTGGCGAACGTACTGTGTACATTAAATGTGTAACTATCTTTATTTTTAGAATCATCTACAGATGTGACGGATTTAATTAGACTAGATCCTGAGTCCGGAGAAATCGTTGTAGCTGGTCGCATCGACCACGAGCAATTAAGTTGGATAAACATTACAGTTCGGGCTTCAGATAATGGGATCCCAATCAGATCATCATTTACAAATGTAGCATTACGGGTAATTGATGAGAACGACAATAATCCATATTTTACTGATGAAACACCTAATAATATCACCATTCCAGAAAATACTCCAATTGGTTTGTTATCTTCTCTATTTCAAATAAACAGTAATGATCTAATTTAATTATGTTTTTTTTAAGGAACTTCAATTGCTACAATGATAGCTATGGATGCAGATTCTAGTGATTATGGTAAAGTCACATATTTATTGGATCGCTTGTCTTCTCAGGTAAATAAAATCAAATAATGTACAGGCATTCATTTATTGAAATTTACAATATTAAAATTAAAATATTTGTTCAGGGTAAATTTACCATTGATACTAATACTGGAATTTTAAGAGTAGCTGATGTATTGGATCGAGAACAATTAAGTACATATAACTTAATTGTTGAAGCATGGGACAATTATCAATATGGTTATGTTTCAGGTGAAAGTCGAAATGCTTTTAAGCAAATTATGTATGTGTTAACTGTGTCAATAATAACTTATTATATAAATATTTGTTTTAAGTATCTATTTATTTCAATAGGGTAACAGTTTCGGATATAAACGACATGGCTCCAGGATTCGAACATTTACCAACTGAATGCGTTGTGGTTACAGAATTTCACACAGTTGGTGACATTATCTTATTAGTAAAAGCTAATGATGCAGATGATCCCAATACAGTAAATGGACGAATTTCATTTTCTATAGAAGACGGTAATGAAAGAGGTTAGTTGAAGTATTTTTTTTTTAATATCTAAATAATAATTCACACATTTTTGTTTATAAATATCAAATTATTAAGCCACCTATTCGTTAAATTTTACATGATGTTATTCTATTGTTAATTTATATAACTTTTCAGAGCTTTTCGCTATTTATAATGTCGACTATTGGTCAGGACGGTTATATACAACATCATCGTTAAGAAACTTATACGGAAATTATAGTTTATTAATAAGAGCTCAAGATGGGGGAACTCCACAAAAGTCAAATTTAGCGACTATTAATGTATGTGTCATAGACGTTAATGACAATGCACCACGATTTGTTTCACCTCCATACAATGCTACAGTGAGATTACTTCAAGTAAGTTAGCAAATTTAAAAACTAATGATAAGAAAATTAGGAATTAAAGAATTCAAACTTTAAAGATGAATAAATATTTGGATTTAAATAAATTTGTCGGCTAGAGTATTGCAGAATGAATAATCATGTTTTAACTTTGTAAAACTAATAAACTATTTGATATTTTTGTAAAGTTGTAAACATTGAACCAACCTATTCAGTCTTACAATGAAATTTTTTTTAAATATATTAAGGTATTTCAAAAAAACTTAATTTTATGAATTTTGAAAAAATGTGGAGTTATTTTTTTACATTAACATGAAAACATAAAATTTAATTTTTAGAACATGACTGTTGGTAGTTCTATTATTTCGGTTGAGGCAATTGATGACGATGTTGGTCAAAATGCTGAAATTAGATATCGTCTCAAACAAGATCTTATGGGTGATTGGAAAACTTTTTCCATTGATGAAGTTACAGGATTAATTTCGTTGAAAAAGCCACTTAATAAAGAAGTTCAAAAAATGTACCAAGTAAATTATTATTCATATGTAGTATACTAATGGTTATATTAATTATAATATATAAACGCATTCAAATTATTTTTATTATATAAGATTCGCGTTGAAGCTTATGATCTCGGTATACCGACGCCATTGTCGTCTGACCTAGAACTCACGATACACGTTAGAAGTTCTAACGATTTTCAACCTCGATTTTTAATTAATGAGATTACTGTGAATTTTACTGGTATGATTTTTGTTATACCAATGAATAAGAAGTAAGAACAATAACCAAATAATTTTTGTTTTTTTTTTTTAGAGCATAGAGAACCTGGTGCTGAATATTGGCAACTCATTGACACTGTTGAACGTGAAGATTTGAATGATTTAGAAAAGCCTCCATCTTCAGTATGCTATTATGTAATATCAGGGAATGACGATAATTTATTCATAATTGAACCACTTAATCATAGAATATCTGTTAGTTATTTTAGAAAATAATTTTAAAAATTATATAATTTTTTATGCTGAGTATTTCGCTTAGGTTGCTGGTGAGCTCGATCGTGAAACTAAAGATAATTATGATCTAATGATAAAAGCTAGTGAAGATTGTTTGCATTCACCACCGGTTAACAATGTTTATAATAAAGACGATGACAGCTTACTTAAAGTGTCTGTAGTTGTAAATGACATAAATGACCACGCCCCCGAGTTTATAAAGAGAATTTTCACAGGTGGCGTAACTACAGAAGCAGATTTTGGTAATGAATTTATGCATGTTAAGGTAATGAAATTTACAAATACAATTCTTATAAATAATTTTTAAATCATACTAAAAATTAGATTTAAATTTTTTTTTTTTTGCCAAATTAAGTTTTTTTTAAAATATGTTTTATTGCGGTTTTAAAAATATACTTTTTTCATGGTAGGCGATTGATGCTGATAAAGGAATCAACTCCGAACTATCTTATTATATAGTCCCGAATTCTTTACGTCTGTCTTTAGCTGAAGGATTAGACAGTATACAATATCCACCTTTCTTAATAGATATTTCAACAGGAGCTATATATTTAAATTTCGATCCTCAAAAAGGAATGAAAGGCTACTTTGACTTTCAAGTATTAGTAAACGACACTGGTGGTTTATATGATGTTGCCAGGGTACTCATTTATTTGCTTCGTGAAGATCAAAGAGTTAGATTTGTTGTACGACAAAACCCTTCGCAATTACGGGAAAAAGTTGATATTTTCAGAGAGTTAGTTTTGATATAAATCATATATGTTTTAAAATTAACAGTTTTTTTGTTTGTAGGATTTTGGGTAACGTAACAGGAGCTATAGTGAACGTAGATGAGTATAAAGTTCACGAAACAAATGACGGTAGAGTTGATAAAACAAGATCGGATATGTATTTGCATTTTGTAGACCATCGTGATAACTCAATTATGGAAGTACCTCACGTTTTGCGTGTGATAGATGAAAACATTGAACACTTGGATACTTTGTTTAAAGTAATATATTTTCCATATATCATTGTTAGAAATAGACATGTAAGTAATACTGAAAAAAAATTTTCTATCATAAAGGAATTTAATGTTCTGGATACACAAGCAGCAGAACCTGAACCGTTACGTAGAGCGTTCATCAAAGAAGATAACGTGATTTGGATGTGGCTTATCGGTACTACATTTTTCTTGGGATTGCTACTTGTTGTCGTCATTTCTATTTGTTTATCACAACGTTCACATTATCGTCGTCAACTCAAAGCGGCCACGATTAGTGCATTCGGTAAACAATTGTTTGTTAAAATTACTTCAATACTTAATACAAATTTGACCGGTAACTTGTTTACTTTTTTAGATCCTAGAACATCCGATCATGTAACATCGGCAGTAATTGGTGGTAGAGTTCCTAATACTAATATACATAGTGTAGCTGGTTCTAATCCCATGTGGATGCAAGCATACGAAAACGAATGGTACAAGGATAGAGAATCATTAAGGTAAATAACCATTTATTCATTTATTGACTATCCCATTGTTTTTGTAAATTTTATTATGATTGATTAATTTATGTAATGTTATTTAGAGATTAAGGTTGTTCATAAAAACTCCTAAATTCATGTTTCATATTAATTATGTAGATGTATTGTTTGTAGTGTATTTTTATGTGAGACAGGCTTATTATTTTACAATGGAAACTATCTTTAATAAAAATTCAAGGACATTTCTCTGTCAAACATTTTCTGAAACACGCCTATATCATAGGTACAACTAAAATAAAAATGCAAGGGTAGTAAAAATTATGTAATTCTCACAAACTCACAAGTGGCCCCAGTCCCACACCCTCAATATTATTTCTTAAATAATTACTTAATAACAACTGATTTAAAATATTAATCAATTTTAAACTAAGATTCAGTCCACATGTCACATAGCATTATTATTTAAAAAAGTTTTTATACTCATTGACGTATAAAACGAGTATTAAACATAGTATTTTTCCATATTTTATATTTTTTATTTTAAATGTACATAAAATAATTTACATTTGATATCAAAGTTTATGCTATGAATTCTCGTTTTCTCGATAACGTTTCACGTCTATATTTTAATATATTTTGTTAGTATAAACCAAAGGATATAACTGAATGGTATAAACTTCAGATTCACCTTATCATCATATTTTTGATAATTAAAAAAATAACTACAAAAAATGTTTAAATTGCTAAAAAAATTTTTTTGACATCATATATTTATTGTCAGCTATTAATAATAAAAATCCTTTATGAAATAATAAAAAGTTATTTTCACATAATTTGATTAGGGGTACTGAATAAGATCTTGAGGTTCTTTAGCAACCCCAGAACCACTGCTAGTTGCGCTCATTATCCCTATGATACACTGTTATGTGCATTTATTAATTTAATTATTTTTATGTCTGTTGCCACTATGTCTCCAGCTCCTACTGAACCAATAATATAAATACAGACAAATAATACATCAAAAGAACTCAAATCCTATCTTGTTGAAGATATACCCTTCAAATAAAAAAAAAATGTTCTCGATTTATTTTTAAAAGTTATAAATATAACAAACATTTTTAAAATGGCCAATTCATAATTTTTTTATTAATTAAAATTGCTATAACTTAAAAGTAAAGCTTGAATTGATTCAAATATTTTACCAGTTATTTTGTAAGTATTAATCATTCTATTGGTACACTTTTTAAAAATACAGTAATTACACAAATTAGAGAGAACATTGCAAAATGGAAACTTATAAAACCTTTATTTGCGTATAATTATGTTATATTATTTATATTAGAAATAATCATTATTTATCTTTTAGACATATTTTGTCGTTTTCATAGAAAAAAAAAAATAAAAAAAAAATTAAAATAATAAAAAAAAAATATATATATATATATATATACATATATATGTAATCTATTATAGTTTTAAGACATCTGCAAACATGAGACAAGTAGCGGATCCAGGGAAAGAGTGCATAAGACACGTGCCCCGTTTAGACTATCATCACCTACTTAAAAAAAAAAAACCCAGCACAGGGGGGTCGCAGCACAGTGGTGACGTGGCATAGTTGGATCAAGTATAATGATATCTGAGAGTGATTAAAATCACTATAAAAAAAAAGCTTCGATGCAAATCTTTAGATAGTGTTTAATTTTAAAAAATTGGTGTATTATTCCAAAAGCTACATGATCTGCTAGTTCCTTATTAATATCCTCATTAAGATAAAGTATGTCGAATGAAAAAGAGATTATTAAAAAATATTATTTCTCATAAAAAATTGTGTTGGTCCATACATTTTTCAATAAGTTATAGCATTATAAAGTTAAAAATGTAAAAAATAAAATCGAGAATTTCCACACAATAATAGCATTCGGTAGCCATTTTCACCGTGAAGATAAAATAAAGTCCGAAATTTTTTTTTTCCATATTAAAGTACATTATATTATCTTTAATTTAAGATATATATAAAAGTATCAGACTTTCCGTAACACTTTTAAAAGTTAAATTGAAAAAATTAATTTTTTGTGAATAAGTTGTTATTTTGAATTTCCCCTGTGGGCAGGTGAATGGTCAGATTAAAAAAATATACCAAATTATAAGTAAATGCCTAATATATCTATTAAAGAAAAAACTGTATTGATCCCATACATTTTCAAAAAGTATTGACAATTTTATGTAAAAAAACGGTAGCAAAGTGGGATTGTGTCATAAAATGGGACAAGTATAAATGATATCTGACAGTGTTTAAAATCACTATCATAAGAAACCCTTCGATACAAATCTGTAGATAGTATTTAAATTTAAGAATTTTATAGATTATTCCAAAAGCAAAATTAACTCTTAATTTTTGTTCCATTTCGACTACCATTTGCACATTAAAAATAGGTCGTTGGTACAAAATTTTTTTAAACTTCGAGTACATAAAATAAGCTTTATTTTAACATATATTTAAAGGACGCACTATTCAAAACATTTTCAAAAGTTAAGTTGATAAAATTTTACTTTTTATTCAAATTTCCAAGTTTTCAAAAATTAAAAAAACCTTTAATAACTTTGAAGAGGCAAAATAATCAAAATAAGTATAAATTTATAATTAATGTAAGTTAGATTCATGTAAATTTTATATTTATTGTTGGACTCATTATTATGGTAAACTTTTATAAGGTATTTTAAAATAAACAAAAAATAAAAATTGAATATATTTTTAACAACAGCAGCCGTTTGCACGTAAAAGATAAGTCGTCACAACAATTTTTTTTTTTAATTTATAGTGCGTAACATAAGCTTTAATTTGACAAATGTTTCAAAGACGCATTAATTCTTAATCATTTTCAAAAGTTGAGTTTTGAAAAAAAAATAGCTATATTGAATTCCCTCTTGGGGGCAAGTAAAGAGTTAGAATATCGAGAAAATGATATCAAATAAAAGCAAAATATAATAAAATACCTATAGGTTTCTATTTAAAAAAATTATTTTTATTTGTTATATTTTGAAAAATTTATGGTATTTTTAATAAAAAAGTGAAAAAAATTCGAAAATTACTAATTTTTAAAATTGTAATTTTTTTGGAGATTTACCCTATCATTTACAGTAAACGAGAGAAATTTTTTCAATTTTTGAGTAAACACATCATTGACTAGATAAGGTTTGTGATATTTTGACGTATTATTGAAAGAAATCAGTTCTGTGAGAGCTGAGAAAAAGTGGTAACAGACACAAATAAAAAAATAATAAAATACGCATCATAATAAAACATTCTCAGCTTTGCAAAGCTAAAACATATTTACAACATTTTGGTTTATTTTTTGTCGAGAAATGCATACTTACAACATAAATACAAGCATTATTGGTATAGAAAATCTGTTGTTGTTTTTTTTTTTTTTTTTTTTTTTTTTTTTTT